TGGCCTAATTTCAATATTGTTGTGTCTCAGGGAATAGGGAGGCCTGAGGAGAGGGATAGAGATGGGGGAATGGCTGGTCGGTGGAGCAGTCAGAACACACACAACATTTATCGATTGAGTTCGCCGTCTTATATGGGCGTGGTTCGTGGCGCCCCAAAACAATTACAATAGTAACATCAAAGATCACAGATCACCATAACAAATATAATAATAATGAAAAAGTTTGAAATATTGTGAGAATTACCAAAATGTGACACAGAGACACGAAGTGAGCAAATGCTGTTGAAAAAATGGCGCCGATGGAAAAATGGCGCCGATAGACTTGCTCGACGCAAACCTTCAATTTGTAAAAAAATGCAATATCTGCAAAGGTCAATAAAGCGAAGCGCAATAAAACGAGGTATGCCTGTATTCTTTTTCAGTAGGGGGATGCTGGTGGTTGGTGGGAAGATAGCTAGGTACAGAGGTAGTTGTTGGTAGTGAGTTTAAGAAGCGTTGGGGAGCGTGGAATGGAAGTGGGATGGGATCAATAGTAGCTGGGCTGGCTGTGTACTATCGTTTGTGTGGGGTGGGAGGAGAGGAGTATTCTTGGCTTGGAACAGAGCCCAGGGGATGGTTGTTAGGCAAATGGTTGCTGATTAGGGAAGATGTGAAGCAAAGCCAGGCAGCTTTCTTCCTACCCAGATGAGCAAGGAGAATCACAGGTCTCATTTTAAAGTGGTGTGGCAAAGCACTTGGGGTGTCTGCCACTTTGAGAGGTCAGGTAGCCTGCAAAGCCACTGGCAGGTGTGAGCCAGAGCTGATTGGGAGCTAGCTGGCCCGGGGAGCTGTCAGGTGAGGCTAAGCCTGATGGGGTGAGTCACCCGGTGCTGAAGGGAGTCACCTGGCTGCAGAGGAGGGCTGGACTTAGAGCAGCTATAAGCCCAGGCCCTGAGAGAAACCAGAGAGTAAGATTTTGGACCCTGCTGAGTGACCATCACCTCAGCAGGAGCGCTGCAGCTCTGGAGCACCAGCACAGAGAGGACAGCAGTCTGGAGGGTTGGGTAGGACCTAAGGAGTTTCCTAGGGACCCAGGGTGAGGCCCAGGCCATGCCAGAGGCCAAGGCCAAGAGCCTAAGAGACAGTGGACCCAAGAGTGCGTGTGTGCTGGTAGGCTGGAGAACTGACCCCAGCAGAATCTTGCTTGCCTGCTAGCAGGGTCAGGGCCCAGAGAAGGGCTGGAGGCTGGAGGCAGCCACAGAGGGAGACTGCTGGAGCCAGAGAGGGGCCTGGAGCTCTCAGCTTGCCTGAGTCAGGGCCAGGGACTAGGAGAGGCCAAAAGTATGGGTGTGGCCACAGCCAGAAAGGTTGGGGGATCAGGGTCCTGCAGCCCAGAATTAAGATGGCCAAGCCAGGGCTGTCTGAAGAATAGAACGGCCCTGGTGAGAAAGTGGAAGAGATGATCCAGAGAATCTCACTGGCCTGGCAATGCGGCCAGGGCCCAGGGAAGGGGCCAAAGGCCAGAGGCAGCCACAGCAGGAGACTACCAGAGCCAGAGAGGGACCATTGGCCCAAGGCAGGGCCAGGGCCTGGGATAGGCCAAAGGTCCAGGTAGGGCCACTGTCAGAGCAGAATGGGTCAGAGAAACTGAGGCCCAGAATGTGAATGGCTGGGACAGAGTCATCAGATGTAGATGAGGGTCCAAGACAAAGGAGCCCAGAGATAGGAGAGCCAGGGCCAGAGGTAGCCTGAAAGAAGGGGAGAGCTGAGCCCAGAAGGTTGCTGCATGATCCAGTGAGATCAGGGCTCAGAAGGAGAGAGAGCTAGGGCCAAGGGACCCCAAAGGGGTGACATCAGAAAGAGCTTCCAGCCAGGGACCCATCCAGGGACCGAGGAAGAGTAGGAGTCAATGGTCCAGAGGCCCAGAGTGGGGCCTAGAGAGAGAGTGACAATAGAGGGGGCTCAGAGGCCCAGGCAGGGGCTGGGGCAGACCAGGAACAGAAGGGTTATGAAGCCCCAGAAGGGGCTCAGACCAAGTGCAACTGGAAGAGTCCAGCAACCCCAGCGAGTGACCAGGAATAATGTAGTGGGACGGGAAGGGTCTAGTAGCTCAGTGAGAAGCCTGGGGTGAGGCCCAATGAGAGTCCATATGAGAGCCCAAGGGGTCCAGCAGCCCAGAGAAGGGTCAAGAGTGAGACCGGGAGTGGGGTGGGGTGGGTGTGACAGGTTGGCAGCCTAGACAAGGACTGACCAAGAGGCTGAGAGGTCTGAGGACTCATGAAGGGGCCAAGTAAGGGACCAAGGGATTTGGCAGCCCAGAGGGGAGTTAGAGAGAGAGAGTGTGTGTGTGTGTG